AGTAATAAGCTCCAACAAGGACCAGAACCAGGGTTCGGTTCTGTTTCTGGTCTGTGACTGTGCTGCTGCTGTAGGTTTAGTTCTTCATTATCGTGTCGGTGTGACCGTTGGACCGGGTCATTCCTCAGAGTGCAGCTAATGACTGGACCTCTGACCTCCGACACTTTGAAGCCACCAGCGGTCCGTTTCGTTACCAGCCGTCGACTGGAACCGGATCAGCCGCTTTGACCAAACATGAGCCGACAGCCTCGGATCGGGTTTGGGTTGGAAACAGTGAAAGTTCTGAGCTTCTGTAAAAGCCGGACTGAGCTGCAGAGAAACGCGATGAGCCCTGACCCTCTGTGATGAAGTGGCAGCAGAACCGGGTTCTTACCCAGAAGATGAAGGAATACAGCAGCAGCAGCGTCTTCAGGCAGAAGATCAGCGGTTTGGTTTCCATCCTCCTGGGAGCCATGGTCCTCAGACACTGAGCTGGAAGCAGGACTGAGCTGCTTTAACAGCACGGTCAGAAGCTCAGAGTGAAGAGGAGAGTCTAACAGCGCCCCCTGCTGCTCCAATATTTAACCACATGACAGAACAGCCAGAACCTTCTCCAACGTTCTCGTCTTCATGACGGACGAAGATCTTTTTCATGTTAATTAGCTGATATTAAAATTCTACATAGAAACACTCTGCATGCAAAGAACTTTTTACTTTGGTTCTTTAACTCTCCAAATTCCAGTTTCTGTCTCAGTTTTCTTCATTGAGGTTCATGTTTCTCTGGAACATAAAGTCCTGAAGCCCTGTGGAACCAGAACCACATGAAGAAGGAGAGAGAACTCAGAGACGTCTTCTGTCAGCAGAACGACGGAGACCAGAGAGAAGAAACGTTTATTTGGCGATTTGTTTTCCACAAATGTTTTCATCACAGGAGCTCATGTGGTCTCCTCGTCCTGCAGATGTTGAACCATCTCCACGTCTCCAGACTTTTCCTCTGTGCTCTGCTCATCAGATGTAGAAAGATGCTGCTTTTAAACGGATTCTCTTTATATTGTCTCAGTTTTGGTCCAAACCCTCCTCAGATCTCTCAGATGGTTTCAGGCTGAAGCTCACATAGCAGCTGTTTGTGTGCCAGAGTGAAGGCGGCTGCTGTTCACAGCTTCGTGCTAACTGTGAGCTCAGAGTGTGAAGTATGACGGTCACATGGCCGCTCCACCAAGCAAACCTGTTTCACATCTAACTTCCAGATCTGCAGAAATCCGGGACTCGGTCTGTCCAGAGGAACATCTGCACAGCTTCATTCTTCTGTTGCCTTCATGTGTCTCATGACAGAAATCTCCCTTCACAGTGTGAACATGTGCAGCTCAACTCTGACTGGTTGGACTCCAGCCATCGCTCTACCTCTGGTTCTGTAGATCTGCTTTGCTCTTTTCACACCTTAAAAAGTCTGAACTGGTCAGAATGAATCTGAAACCAGAATCCTGCCTCCTCACAATGTCACTTCAGATGTGTAGAATCAGAGTTCTGACAGTGACCCGGTCGCCCAAATACAAGATGTAAACACAACATTTGAGAAGCAGTGACTTGAAACCAGAAATTATCTGTCCGGTAAATTTTACTTGATAAGAGAGACAGACAACCAAGCACACTCACATTCACACCTACGGACAATTTACAATCACCAATTAACCTCAGCATGTTTCTGGACTGTGGGAGGAAGCCG